AATTAACATATAGTATATTATTAGTTTCAGAGGTAATTTAGTGATTCAGCAGTTGCATATAACCCCCAGTGCTCATTCCATCGAAGGGCACATGTTTTCACAGACAATCCTTTCCTCCCCTCCCCGACAATGTGACATAAACTGGTTTTATTATGATGTTGCTTACATGTATACCGTCATAAAATCAGGTATAAATTCTTCAATATTCACCTACATAAAGTGGATATAAGACAAAATAGATCTATACAAATACAATTACAAAGCTGATAAAATTCAAATTAAAAACAAAAGGAAATGCATAAATGTTATTTTCTCCCTTATGTGAGAAGATTTGGCTGTCCAAAGTTAATGACAACACAAGAAATATTATTAACTATAAAGTATATCACTCTAGAACCCTTTCAGTTTTTTTGTTAACATTGTTAAGCATGTTCCTACATAGTATAACTAAAATGTCATTTTGTGTTTTAGCAGTTTTAAAAAATATGGCATTTGGTGTAATTGGCTTAATTTTTCGCTTGTGTCGCTTTGGCTTAGTTGCACTGTCATGTGAATAAATTTAAAATCTTAAATAATGTCAAATAGTATATGACTATTATTTTAACAAATTAAAAATGTTTTTACAAGTACTTATTGGAACGAATATTTAAGCTTGATATTATTTGTCATTATTCAGGGTTTGGCCTTTCTTTTTTCTTGAAAGTTTGAAAGTAATCCTATTATTCTGTTGAAACTTATTTGAATATAATATCACTTTCTATTTTGACCCTTTGTGGCTTAAATGAAAGGGAAAGAAAAATAATAGAAAGTGTAATATTTTCAGAGTAAAATGAATCAAATTTAGTATTTTCAGAAAGTATAAATCACTGCTAGGCAAGTAAGCAAAAGATAGAAACAAAGATTGGATAATAAGTCTAGAAGAATTATTAAAGTAATTGTGAAATTATGTCCTGAAAAAAGAAGAGGAGGGCCAACAGGAATTGAATAGAAGTCTTTGCTATGCTTAAAAACAACTCAAAGAAGGAGAGTGAATGTCTGCTCTTAATACTGATAAAATGAAATGGGATATTAAATAAAGAAATTTTATATTAACTACTATAAATACTATGGACTCATAATATAACTTTCCTCTAAAACTGCTTTTCCCACATGGTGTACATGTTAATATGCATTGTGTGGTCATATAAGCTTTAGAAATGAAGAATATCCTAGACATGAGGAAGCATATTTGCTTGACCATTAAAGACTTGGAGAAAGAAGTTTTACATGCAGAAACCTGTTTCTAACTTCAGTAGTGTGTTTTTCAGACATATTTGACCACAGAATTTCATCCCCCAACAAGAATTACTGCTTCGTAGGACAGTGTGGGGAATGATAGTCTTACAGAAGATAGGGTTGCCACATACTCTTACACGTCCTCCTTTTTCCTGTGACTAAGGAATAGCAGCCGTTGAGCTATATGACACACATTTCACTGATCTCTAATCCACTGTGAATTATTTGCATTAGGTACAATTAATGATTTGAAAACTCTGGAAGTTTGCAATGTAAGAAATAGACATAATGATTGGGTCTAGGCATATTACAACCATAAAGCTATGTTCATATTTATAGAGATAGTTTACAACATTTTTTTTTCAGTTCTTACCTTTTCACAGAACCCTTGTCTTTAGATCACCTATAATAAAACTATCTTTTTATTTTATTTTACCTGAAATAATTAATATTTACCTTTAATTCACACTGTGTACCATTTCTTACTTTATAGTCTGTAAAAACATGTTCCATGAGAAAAAATTTCTTTGTCGGCTACTGCTTAAAATAAAAATAGTGACAAGGCTTTGAGGAAAACAAACTGTCCTTTATTTCAAAAATGAAAAAGAACAAACCCTTTCGTTTGATCCTACAGAAGCTAACATTTTGGGCATCTGTCCATTGCTGTGCATGGTATTATTTAAGCATCACAATCCTTTGTGGTCCTTGAGCTTGAATAATTTGCCTTTACACTAGGTGTCACTAGAGTAAGTGGCAGAATCAAGGATAAATCTCAGGTCTCTCTGACTCCAAAGTACATGCTGGTAAGACTTCTTGAGAAACAAAGCAGAGTAGAAAGTAGTGGGAAAGATCACCAAAATCTGGCAACTCAGATAGTCATTTAAGATTTTACTGTATTTCCTTTGTTCTTTTCAGTGCAAAATATATATATACACTAACTAGGTTCAAACTATCAAACAGTTTTGTATGCTATTTTTTCGTTGTTTTTACTTTTGTATCACTAAAGTTTTTTTTTTTTTTTAGAAACATTTTAAACTGCAGTCCTTTCTTAAAATTATCACTGGTTCCTGTTGCTTCTCTAGTTTTCACCTCTTTTTCTTTTAATTCATCAAACCGAATCACAGCCGTTTTGGTTTTTACTGTTTTTCACTCTGAGGGCGATTTCATTGATTATTTCACATGTAATTCAATAATTTACCAAAAATTTCTCCTGAATATTGCTCAATATGTCTATATCAATTGCCTAAACAAGACTATTTCCTTTAAAAAACAAAACAAGAAAAACTTTTGCTGAAAATTACACAGTGTTGCAAATCTATGAAAAGGCTCTCACATCAGTTCAGTCTTTCAGTTGTTTTTCTGTATTTCCTGGCTGTTAAGGTCTGAAATACTTCAGGTTATTGACTGAGATTATGAAATCTCTTTGCTGGAGGTATTTAATTAAATGTACAAGTTATCTAATATGGTTAGGTGTAGTTGAATTAAAATACAAATTAGTGAACTGGATATATCTAAGATCTATCAGCAGTTTCTTAGAAATCTGTTGCTGTGGCTATGGTCCTCATAATCTTCATTTTTTAGTTTATAAAGAAATATGCATAGTGTATACATTACCTGAATTTGAAATTTCCTATTATAGTATTAAAGTATCTTACCCTTAATTCAGCAGTTTTGATGGAAAAAATTATTTCAACAAGTTGGTTGGCTTTTCTATAGTTGATTATAATCATTCTATTTTTAATATTTTAAGGATGTGCATAGAAAAAGCATTTCTGCTTATTCCCTATATGTTGTGGATATGCTTTTTAAGAGCTTTCTGGTAATGTAAAACATTTGTGTTTAAATGAATTGAGAGTAACATTCAATTTTGAAGAGCAATTAGTAATTTTTTATTTATCAGCAGTATGATTCTTTTTCCCTTCATTTAGATATGAAGTAAATTTTCAAGATGGTATTGATTGTGGAGGTGCATACATTAAACTCCTAGCAGACACTGATGGTTTGAATCTGGTATGATATTTTAATGTTTAAGAAAACCTTATTAAAGTTAATACTTTTAAGGAGTAGGTGAGAAAACTGTAATTTTTATTTTCAACTGAAATCGAAAAGAACCTTAAAAATCTTAACCAGCATGAGTTTGTATAGCTTTCAGGGTGTGCCTTCAAGTTTCATACCCAGTTGTGTTACTTGATGGTATCAGTTTTGTAATCTTTAGCAACATAATAAAGTTTGCCATGTCTGTAAGTAAAAAATAACATGGTGCTTATCAATGTCATTGAAAGATCGGCTTTGAGTTATTTTCTTTACAAATTAAGAAGCATAAATTTGTTTGGAGAAGTAAAATAACAGAGCAAAGCAGTAAAATGAAATGGCCAAAGAACCAAATAAAAAAGGTGGGTCAGTTCAGGAGTTGGTAGTCTACAAAAAATAACGGGTTAAAATGTTTTGAGAATGAAGCAAGTGTATTAGGTTGGAGACATTTCTTGTAGCATTCTCCTGCCGGGGGCTGTGTCAGGGCTTCTGCATATAACAGACATAAGATAAATGAGACATCAGTGAGATATTTGTCAGAATGCATGGCTATGCATAGGCTGTGAAACATGGGTTAAAGGATTCATGTTACTATTATTAGAATTAGTTAAGGGGAGCCCATTTGTAGTATAGGTTGGAGCTCTTGTTTTGGGTATCATCGTAAGATGACCATCACTCAGAAGTATAATGACATAATAAAGTTAAATGCTAGGTATTTTTCTCAGCACTTTATCTGATTAACTCAGTTAATCCTCAGAGAACCCTTATAAGGTAGGTACTATTATTATTTCCATATTTGAAGGGTAATGAAACATTCAGGACTACATCAAGGCTAAGAAATTTACTCAGGGCCACATACAGCTGGTTAAGGGCAGTGGTAGGATTTGAACCCCGGGATCTGACAACACACCCATGCTTTTAGCTAACAGGCCATGCCAAATAAAGAGAAATTACTAGTAGTAAAACAGGGAGCATGTCTCTGTGTCTGTGTTTGTGTCTGAATCTCTCTTTACTCTGTGCTCAGGAAGGTTATTCTCTGGTGTCTTCTTGAATAATAGTAATGGTAATCATTGTAGTCTTGAAGTCGTAAATATGCTTTTTCTCTGTGCTTAATTTTCTTAACAAAATATTAATAGTTCAGATTTACATAAAGTAATTAAAGCTTATCATGATGTTGGTAGGGTGGTTTCAGCTTCTCTCCTACATCTTCAGGAAGGACGTAGTATGTACATTTTTTAAAAATCTATTTTTGAAAGAAAAATTGTCTTTTTTCTACATCTTTTATTGTCACTTGTGTCAAATAATTCTTTGGTGATTTAGCATTTAATACATTTTTATAACCTCTACCCAATTGGATAGAATAGAAAAATTCATCAAATACTCTAATTCTGGACTAATCCCAACACATCTCTCTTTGAAGGAAAACTTTTATGATAAAACATCCTATACCATTATGTTTGGACCAGATAAATGTGGAGAAGATTATAAACTTCATTTTATCTTCAGACATAAACATCCTAAAACTGGAGTTTTTGAAGAGAAACATGCCAAACCTCCAGATGTAGACCTTAAAAAGTTCTTTACAGACAGGAAGACTCATCTTTATACCCTTG